CACTGCCGCTCGCAGGTGGGAGGGCGCGTGCGTGCGTGTGTGTGTGTGTGTGTGCGTGTGGGGCTGCCGGGGCAGCAGCTCAGCTGCCGGGCCGGGGCGGGGCGTGCCAGGGCGCGTCGCCAGATGGGCAGACGCGGGCCGCGAGCCGCGGATGCGTGCATGCGCCGTCCCGGGGCCCGCCCCGCTCCCCATCGCCGTCGCCCTGCCCTCCTCACGGATGCGCGCCCCCTGGCGCCCGCCGCCCGCGTGTGTGTGCGCAGGTAAAGATCCTGACCGCGGAGCGGGATGTGTATGCTGCTGAGATTGACGGCAAGCTGATCATGAAGATCGGGCCCGGAGACTTCGTGCCCGAGGACGCCTCGGCCGCTGTGGGTGAGTGCATGCGGTGCAAGGCAGGAGAAGGGGTCGACGAAGGAAGGGGCATGGCACCGCAGCACCACGGCAGCGGAGCGGCAGCGGAGCGGCTGTGGCCAGCGCTGCCGGGCTGAGCCTCTCTCCCCTGCCCTGCGCCCCGACCGGCGTCCCCTGCCCGCCCGCCCCTCTGCCGCAGTCGACTGCGGCCACTGCTGGACGGTGTGGGAGAAGTGAGGCCGCCCACGGCCGCCTCTGCCGCCGCCGGTGCCGCCCCAGGCCCCCTTGGGCGTGCGCGCCCCCCAGCGCTGTACGCCGCTACGCTGCCAGAATATCATCCTACCCCATTCGATTCTTTTGCTGAATGCATGCTGCATACCTTCTTTGCGGAGCGTGAGCGTGCCGCCCAGAAACAACCAAACAGCGCACCAACCCCCCCGCCACACCCTCACCCATTTCAATGCATTCAGCTTGAAATGGCGCCCACCTCAAAGTTTTCCTTTTGACGGACGGGCCCACACACACATGCAACCCCCACCCCTGATTTCATGCACCCCCGGCCAACCCCGTTGGCTGTGCGCCCTCTGACACTTGTATTGTGCCTGCCCATTTCGTTGCTGTCCCTGCGTCCCCCCGTCCCCTTCCTGCGTCCCTTCACCCCTCCCCCACCAGCAGCTTTTCCCCCCCGATTATTTTTCA